CCCAGCCCCTTCTCTGGGTTTGCCCACCCCAAGTGTCTTCCCCTGTGGGACCCAAGGGCCCAATGACTCATGCTCCCTCAGGTGGCAGTGGGCAGGATGCAGCTCGATGGGGTCTCCTCTGCTGGAGCTCCTCTCCAGGCCTCTCCTGCACCACTGGGCTGCTCCCCACCCTGTGCCCTGCTCTGGGCACTGTGGGCTCAGCTCCTCTCAGCTGCTGCACCACCGCTGCTGGGTGCTGGGCCTCATGCTGCAGCACTACCACTTCCCTGTGCCCTGGCTCAGCACAGGGGGCTCTCTTAGCACAGGTGCTGGACCCTTCAGGCTCTGGCAAGATGTCCTCACACCAGATGGCTAACCCAAACAGCCTCCGCTGCTCCCTGGCTCCCAAGTCTTGGGCCCACGCACCACCCTGTGCACCGTGGGACCTGGCTGCTTGCTGGGAGGTGAGGCCTGAGCTGCCTCACTGCGGGTCCCAAGGTCCTGCTGGGGTTGCAGGCTCAAGCCAGTGCTTGTGGCTCCCAAAGCCTGGGCTGCATGCACCAAACCATGCACCCGGATGGGCCCGAGCAATCTCACACCACTCCCAGGGCCGGGTCTCCATGCACCGTCCCTGTGCACCGTCAACAGCCCAAGCGGTCTCGCACAGCTCCCAAGGCTGCTCCTCCAGTGGGAGCTTCAGGAGCCTTGGACCTATTGCCCTCCGGGGGAGAGCTCCCCAGCTGTCCTTGCCTCCGCTCTTCTTGAGTCCCTCGCCACATCTGCCCCTCATGCTGGGCACGCAGCTCCTTTAATGCGCTCCAGCCTCCGCCCCTGAAGTCTTCTGGACCGGACAGTTTGCAGTCTTCAATCAGGTCCCGGGGACCTCTTCTCCCCCTCCCCTCAGGAAAGGGGCATGACTAGATTTCTCCTGCTGCCTCCTGATTGGTGGATGGGCTCCACCAATCAAAACAGCAGGATCTCAAGCCTGGGACTCAACCCAAGCTCTGAAAGGAGAGCCTGCTACGCTTACAAGCAGAGGCATATGCTTGTGCTGTGGACAGCTGGTTGGCAGAGGAGCAGAAAAGCCTTCCTCCCTTACAAGAATGCAGGACCAGCTACCGAAAAACGTGTGTGTGTATGTGTGCATGTGTGCGTGTGTGTGCAAGTCCTGTCACCAGCCAGCTCAGCTGTGCGCAGCAACTCAGCAGCCACAACAGGAATCCTGTCTGACTTGCACGTAACTAACTCCCCTGACTTCCATAGAAACATGCTGGATGGCAACCTGCTCCGGCACTAAATCAAGGCTTCCTAGACTCATCAAGCCCACTGACTACTACCCCATGGTCCTTGTCCATGTGGGCACTAATGATGCGGTTGGGAGTAGTCCTGACCACATCATGAAGGCCTTCCATGAGCTGGGGGTTGGGCTCAGAAAGTCAGGGGCACAGGTGGTATTCTCCTCCATCCTTCCAGTTGGCAGCAGCCGGAGACGCCAGGATGCCTGCATCAGGGTAGTCAACCGGTGGCTCCAGAGATGGTGTCTTCAGGAGGGTCTTGGCTTCTGCAGCTATGACCAGCACTTCCAGGGAGAAGTCTTCCTAGGATGGGATGATCTTTATCTCAGGTAAGCATCTCTTCTCCCGCAGGTTGGCTGATCTCCTCCGAAGAGCTTTAAATTAGGCTTGATGGGAGACGGGGAACCAGTGGTTGCTGTGAACCCAGGATTGGAAAGCCGCAAACAAGCCACTGGACCTAACCAGGTAAGCACTAAGGGGAACATGTGCCATCAAGGAAAAGGGGCACCAAGAGCACCCACTGGGGGGCTAAAATGTCTTTACACAAATGCCAGGAGTATGGGGAACAAGCAGGAGGAGCTCACACTCCTGCTTGCTAGCACGCAGTATGACCTAGTCGGCTTACCTGAAACATGGTGGGATTCGACGCACAACTGGGCGGTAGACACTGAGGGGTACAGGTTATATAGACGAGACAGGGTGGGGAGAAAAGGCGGGGGTGTAGCTCTCTCTGTTAAGGAGCAGTACACATCTTCTGTCATCAAGGCAGGAGTGGACGAGGGGAATACTGAGGCATTGTGGGTCAGGATCCAGGGGGGGCCAGGGAAGAAGGACTTGGTAGTGGGGGTCTACTACAGATCTCCTCACCAGGATGTTGAGCTAGATGAGGTATTCTCCAAGCAGCTCTCAGATGCCATACAGGTGAGGGAGGCAGTGGTCATGGGGGACCTAAATTACTCGGATATCAGCTGGGAGGAACAGGTGGCCAAAACAAGCCACTCAAGGAGGTTCTCACACTGTGTGCAGGACCCCCACCTAACCCAGATGGTGTCCTGTCCCACCAGGGGTAGCTCCCTGCTAGACCTGGTCCTAGCAACAGGGGAT